AAGCTGATGTGCAAGGGTCCACAATTACGTGAGGCTTTACAAAAATTACAAAATATACAATCAAAACATTACAAAAAAATAATAAATGAAAACAAAAATGATGCACTGATAGCACCTGGGGGGTCATATCAAAGCACTCAACCGCTGCTGGGTCAAGTTAACCGTGTGAGCTCTGACTTATCGCAGCTGGCTAACCTGAAGAGAAGCAACCAAGGCTTTTTATGGGAAAACTATTTCATTTTTGTTATTTATGTTTTTATGTGTGTCGGTGGTTATTGGGGGAAAGCTTCTCAGAAAGGCCTGCCATGTGCCCAGCTTGTAAGTGGGTGGCATGTACAAGACACCCAAGGGAGTTGTTATAGGCAGTGGGAAGGATACAGTGGACTGTATCCATTACTAATCAGCACCCTGAGAAGGCTGCCAGATGGGCCTTTTGGATCATCTGTGGCCCGAAGAGACAGCTAGCAGCCAACCAATCAGATCAAAGATTGACAGAAGGAAAAGTGTGCACACCATTTTGTTGTTACACAATTTTCTGGCTGAGAAACAACATGACATTTTATTTAATAAATAACAAAATCATTATGATATCATCAAGATGATATCAGGGGTTTTGTATGTGCAACTACTTTAAAAGGCCTCCTGACAGATGGAAGTGCACAAGTCCACTGTCATGGTAAATATTACTGTTGCTGCTATTAGTAAGAACATTATTATATTGTTATTATTTTTAAATATTACAGTTACGTTTGTTACTAACATTACTAATTACTAGCATTTATTACTGAAAGCTAGTTATAGTCAAACAAAATGAAATTTGCACAACACCGTTGTTGTTTGGGGTGGTGTGTGCATGCAGAGGGGCTACAGGTGGCTCTGAATTTACTTATGCTGAGTGACATCGTTCAAAGCTGAAAAGCACTCACACATTGAATAAACAGAAGGACATGATGTTATTAGGAGCCCGATTATTGTTGTGTGCTGTTTTTGTCTTTGTCTGGTTTTGTGTCTCCTTTTTTGGCACAGGTAGGCGGGGCTACACTGAGCCTCTGGCACACCTGTTCTTCACCAGACGCATTCATCAGAAGCGTTCTTAAGGAGCAGCGCGACGCATGTCTAGTGTCGGAGCATGGTCCTTTCAGGAGTGCCTGTGTGCCTGCTCACCCGTGGAGATCATCTTTATTGGGGCTGAAGTTTTGGTTTACATCCCAGCATCCCGCCTCTCGGTCTCTCTCCGTGCCGCCCAGTCTGGCTTCTGATAACGTCCTGGCTCTGCGTTTCTATACACGTCCTGCCTTGTAAATACACTGTGCCTGTAAATAGCTCTTCACTGTTGATACATTTCCTCATTGCAAACCCTCGTGTCTCCTGTGTTCTGCTCTCACTCTCAGATATGTTCTGAAAGAGCCCAAAATAAGGAGCCTCCTGCCCAGTGGGGGTTTCTGTTGTTATTGTTAGGTATGACCTCGCTGTGGATCATTTTCTTCAGCTACCTCGTTTTAAATCAATGAACTGAAATTGGGATTTCTTGTACTATGTCCTTTTTTACAGACCGACAGCTCTCACAGGCTCATATGCTCAATGAGTCCCACGTTCATTATTGCTGCTGTGTTGGCTCAGTGGGATCTCTGCTGTCATTCATTCCAGCCACACGCTGTGACAGCCACTAGGTCACTTACACAGGGGTCTTCTCTTGTGTACTTTGTGTAAGAGCAGCAAATGTGATAGTTATCTGTGAAAGACTTGTAGAGGCTCAAAGCTGCCACAGCCTTGAGTTCATTACCTCTCGCTTTCTGTGGTATGTCAGAGGTTGGTCACAGTGTGAGAACGGAGGCTATTTGGGGTATGCATGTACAGCGGTGTGTGTGTGTGTGTGGGGGGGGTATGTAACACTTAAATATTTCAGATCATCAAACAAATTTAAATGTTAGACAAAGATAAAACAAATAAACACAAACAGCACTTGCTGCAGAATGTTCTGGTAGCACCACACTTCTGGCTGCCTTCCCCATCAGTCATCAGACAGGTCTCCAGTGTAGCTCCTCCACCGGCGCTGTAGCGGCTTTTCAGTAAACTGCAGAATGAACTCTCCACCAAGGTGGTGTTATCCCCATGTGAACAACTCACCGAGCACTTTAAGAGCCTGTTTGTACATCATCAGCATATTTCATTTATGTGTGTCCTTGGCGGTGGAAGCCTTTGGCCTGATGTGAACTTAACCGTTAACTACCTGCTTGCTCCTCTGAAGATCAACTCAAAGACTGTGATAAACAGAATTGTCACGGGCCGTGCGATTTCCGTGAGTCATCTCGCCTCGACTTCTGCAACAGCCTCTACTCTGGTGTTAGCTCGTCATCTATTGGCCGACTACAGCTGGTTCAAAATGCTGCAGCAAGGCTTCTGACTGGCACGTGGGAGCAAGAGCACATATCCCCTATACTCACCTCGCTACACGATCTTGACACTTGTCTTTAAAACATTGCATGGACTAGCTCCTATATATCTTTCTGATCTTTTAAATCGGTATACTCCAGCAAGATGTTTGAGGTCTGCGGACCAAATGCTTCTAGTTGTCCCCAGGTCCAGATTAAAACACAGAGGAGATCAGGCTTTTGCTGTGACTGCTCTGTGGAATAAACTACATATCAGGACCTCTCCAGCACTGGATACTTTTAAAACTCGTTTAAAGACCCATTTTTACTCTTTGGCTTTTAATTCTGTCTGAGTCTGTCATTATTTTATTCTTATTATTTTCTTTCATTTTATTTAACTTTTAAATTTTATCTGATTATTTTATTGTTCAGTACTTTGGTCAACAGTTGTTGTTTTTAGTGCTATATAAATAAAATTGATCGATTGATCAAATACTGCGTTACAGTTGCTGCTAATCTATTGATTAGTTTGAAATATCAGGACATGGTGTTCTTGACATGACCTGGTGCTGTATCTGATCCCAGACCAGTGGGATGATTGATATTACTTCCACCCCTCTAATGAAGCCAGGCTCTTACTCCCCTGTAGTTAAAGTACTGCTGGGTTTCCCAGTCCATGATAAACAAAGACAAAGCAAACTTTTTTCCCCTTTTTTGGATAAATATTTAAGTTGTTATAACAACAAAAAAATAGCTGAGCTTTTCTAAGGCAAAGACACAAGATTAAAATTATATCACAAAATAGAAGCAATAAAAGAAAACAGTGCAGAGCTTCCATGTGTGGCATTTGCTTAAAATTGAAAAGTTAAAACAGAAGAGAAGAATGATGAGATGAATGCATGGATGGGTGGATGTGTGATGGAAACTGGAGCTTTGAAACAGGAAGTAGTTTAAATGTATAACAGTAAGTATCCCAGTGTTTCTCTAAACCTTTACAGGATTACACACGACAATCCTGCCAAAACAAAAGGTGGGACAGTGCCAACCACAGAAACAGGATGACGTCTTCTGGGTCCAGAGGTCATGGAAGATATATCGAGTCATCCCAAAGTGATTCGGATATAAAATGCAAATCACCTGTTGACTGGCTGTTAAGCCACATCCCACGAGGGCCTCTGAGTACTTTCTTATTAAAATGCTCCTGGCAATATTCAGCTTCCTGCTGCTTTGGTCACCCTGTGACTCCGGAGCTTGTTGGAAACCTCTATCAGCGACTAGCTTCACGCATCACAAGTTCAATTCATTGCTTTAATAACAGAGAAAACTCTGCATCTTCTAACTGTAATTCACATCAGAGCTTTAACATTTTCCATCAGTCCATGAAGATCTGCTGTGAAAAAGACGGACCAATGTCCTTTGGGGCTGAATTTGTAATGTAAAAATTGTAGGAAGAGGAAATTGTTCATTAAATGTACTGAGCATGTGAACAGCTGGGAAGACGTTTATCGTCAGTGTTTAGTGCATGACCACTGTAACATCTGACATTAGTCACATACTGCTTTAAATGCAATTCATTATGATGTGTGAGTTTTATTAACATAGCACCAGTTAACAATTACATTTCACTCAAAGTGCTGTCTGTGCATGTAAATCTTCTCTTTGACCACTGGAGCCGAATCTGCCAAATATCTGCAGAGTTCAAGAATCAATACTTCAAATATAATTGTTAATGCTAAGCTGAAGTAAACAGTAACTATTGTTGTTACATTTATTTGGGCCAAATTAATTACATTTAACACAGTGCCAAATCACAACATCAATCACAAGGAACATAATAAGACTTTAAATGATAGTAAATAGTACACATAGTTCAACATAGCATACACGTCCATGTACACAGTATATACCTGCCTGAAGTCAGCTCTGGAAAGCTGCTGAAACACTGACACTTTCATCATTGTGTAACACAATGAATCCAAACATTATTAATGAAACAGAGACTTGTTGTTATCAGCAGAATATTATTTTCATCATGTATTTGTCAGTGAAAACAAAGCTGTGACAAATGTGGTAAAGATGTAATGCAGAACAACAGCTCACCATCGAACATTCACCCAGCAGCTGCTAAAACAAACAAAGTGGAGTTACAGAAACACACAAAATGCATTTGACATCCTTATAATAATTTACTACGTAAAGCAAAACAGAGAGGATCACAATATCACACCACATTTGTTCTGTTCATCCAGCATGCCAGCTGCAGCAAAAACACCATGGAAACGGCCGTGCATTCAATTTAAATGTAGTTTCAGGGAGCAAAGTTCTGGATAAATGCCCTGATATTTTAAAAGTATTCATGTGTTTTGGGTAAAACCCTCAGCGATTTGGCCCACAAGAAGAAAAAGTCATTATGTAGCTAACAGATTATTGTTATTATTATTATTATTATTATTATTATTATTATTATTATTATTATTATGGGACTCTGCATGTTTTCCTTGTGTGTGTGTCCGTCTGTGTCTGTCACATTACAGGTTGTCGTCCGCAGACAGTTCAGTGAAGATGACTTACTACTTTCTCATCATGCACTCACAAACCCTAGCTTTTTCCCTGTTTTTGTTGGCACTACTGAACTTCTTAAGAACTCATCCATTTATATGCTGTTTATTAATTATGGAAAGGCTTGTTTAATTCCCCCTGCACCTGGTAAAACTGTCCCCGGAGTTGGATGTCATAGGGACCAAGGTCTGAGCTGGAGGCCTGATTGATGGGACAATAGCGGAGACCATTGTGACAACTTCGGTAGTCGACCGGTTCCTCGTGTTTGAGGGTGAAAAGCCCACTGAAGTTGAAGGGTGGGCTGAGAGTCCCCATATCCAGAGAACCAGAACTGTCTGGAGAGGAACTGTCGTTTACAGACTCAAAGGGGCTGCAGAAAGAGCCAAAGGGCCGCAGAGACCTACCGCTACCCGCTGTGGTGGAGCCCCCAGCCTCAGGACCAGGATGGTGATCATAGGCTGCGTACAGAGACAATGACTCCTCGTCAGGTTGTGAGATGAGGCTGCAGGTGTTGAGCTGGAGACAGCCAGCGACAAGGTTAGTGGTTGGCTGAGAGAGACCTTTGCACAGAGTCTGAACAAATGTGAGCAAGTCCAGCCTTTTGCCAGTGCTCAGGATCTCACTGAGAAGCCAGATGTAGTTCTTGGCCAAGCGGAGGGTTTCTATTTTGGACAGCTTTTGTGTCTTGGAATAACAGGGAACCACCTTTCTCAGGCTGTCCAATGCATTGTTAAGTCCATGCATACGTTGTCTTTCCCGCGCATTTGCTTCAATCCGTCGTAGTCGAACCCGGTCCAGGCAAGAGTAGCTCAGTTTCTTCTTTTGAGAAGCCCTTCTTCTGAGCCAAGCTGGATCTCCTGCTTCACTTTCCTCCTCCTTCACTTCAACATCCCTCAGTTCATCCTCCCTCCTGGTATCAAGGCTTTCCTCTGGGGCTCTGTCAATCTCTGGCTTAATCAATTTGACTAATTTGTTAGAGGTCCAACTCATCCTTACTGAACTGATGGTTTGATTGGAGGACTGTTCATCAAATGGCAAAGTCAGCATGCTGTCCTGCACGTTAATGGTGGGGAAAGAAAAATTAGATACAAGGCTTCAAACCTTAGAGGATACAAATCCCCAAATTAGGAAAAAACTGGGTTTTTAGCAGAAAATTTGACTGTACACATATGAAACATCATAATCTCATTGTGCAAAATATCACAACAATTACGAACAACTGGGATATAACAAAAGTCCTTATCATGTGAAAAATACCAGTTGTGATAGATACAGCTGAAATTAATTACCCGGCTTACCTCTTTTAATTAGTAGGCTGTTATTATTTTTCAATGACGCACTAAATAACTTGGCTCACCCGGCTCTGTTGTTCAATTTTAAAAGGTATCGTCCTGAAGCCTCCAAGTATCTCGACAAACACGTTCTCCTCCCTCTTTCTCCTGCTAGCGTCTTCTTCTTGTTGCAGCCTCACAGACACTGATGCCATCTGCTGATGTCCTCTCTCTCCCTCACACACACATGCAAACTAGCTTCGTATCCCTCTTTTCTCTCTGCATCACTCTGCCTGTGCCTCTTTCCCTCTGCTCCTAACATGGTGGATGCTGATCTGAGTTTTTAGACTTCACATTGAGCTGCTATAGTCACACAGTGAGCTGAAGCTAGTTGGGCACTTGTTCCTGTCAGCTGTCTAGCTTACACCTTGCAATGTGCTGTCACATGCATATAACCAGTGGTGGACTGGCCATCAGAGGACCAGTAGCCTAAGGGTCGTTTTGGCCTGCTGTGAATTTTCAACTTGATCTGCACATAGTTTATGGACCACAGAGAGTCCATGCATCAGGTGCAACTCTCGGCACAGACGAGAGCCATAGTGATGCCTGATTTGCCAATATCTTTACTTGTATTGGTAAAAAGACTGTGGTGAGCAGAATTTAGTAACAGGGTATTTATTTATGTACTCATTATCAGTGTTGGGTAAGTTACTTTAAAATAGTAACGTAGTTACATTACTAGTTACTTCTCTCAAAAGTAACTCAGTTACTTCAAGTTACTCGTTACTTTTAAAGTAACTAGTTACTAGGGAAAGTAACTTTGGTTTTACTCAGAATTCTCTTGTTAATGTGTTGCTTCCATAACTTTGCCAGTCTTCTAGCTTACTTACTTGCCGCAGTGCACTGTGCCACCTACCAATAGAAAGGAAAAGATAATGTGCACATTTCCAAGAGAGAAATCCCACGCCTGGACCGTCATTGACTGCTGCCATGATTCTAGCCTACGTCACAGCGTCATGTGCACCTTTTACATCCAACACAAAAACTGCAGTCGTGGTGCTTTGATTGTACTCAGAAATTCTGCCTTCTGAATAGGAAGATGTAGGTAACACCAGACTGCAGATGAGCTGCATACAGGGCTGGACTGGGACAGAAAATTGGCCCGGACATTTTGACTAGAGACCGGCCGCCATTATAGGAAAAATCATAAAGCCTTTGAATGAAAACAAACACTGTTGTGACAGTGATGTTCACTGTTCTGATGGTATATATGTATCAATCTATCAATCGTTTGTTGTAAGATTCAGATAATTATTTTTTAAAAGCGAGACATTTTAAATGAGAATAAGAAAGAAAAGTATGTCTTTGTGCCCCCCTCTCCCTGTTAATGCCCTACCTGGCCCCTGGCAACACTTTGCTAGACCCGCCCCTGCACAGTTACCAGCTGTCAGCTGCTTAGAAAAGGATCCTGGTGTTATTTGTCTCTCAGAAACAGTTCATAACTTCCCTTCAACTCACTCATGTCACCTAAAAGGTAAACCTGTTTCTCCATCACAGCTCTGATGATCCAGTAAGGACATCTCCTGGTTTCATCCTCATGTTTCCCTCTCACCAGATAACCAAACCATATCATGACCAGCAGCTTTACAGCTGTGGCTCCAGCAAACATCAGCTGATACTAGAAATTAATAATAAATACATTCTAACAACAGCTGATCAAGCTTAAACGTGCTGCTGTTGTTTATCCGCTGGTTTCCTCTTTCGGCGCAAAGTGAGCGATAGACAAACAAGAGAGCTGATCAGCTGATCATTGATCAGTTTCATGATTGAAGTAGAAACGGGAGAGGGAGGGGGAGAATGAAAGAAGAGGCAGCTGTGCAGCAAAGACACAGAATAACTCCACCTTTGTGTCTTTTTCATTGAAGGTGAATTACGGGACAAACTGTTCCTTTTCACTTCAATAAGAAACGCGTAATATTTTCTCTGAATACCAGGCGGGACGGTTGGCAACTCTAATAACTTATGAACAAAATAAAGTTCAACATCATTAACTTCATAGCACCACCCAGCTGTATAGAAACTCCGTCATGCTAGCTAGCACGCAGTACGGAAAAAGTCAGCATAACGAAAATAAACTCCACCTAAACTTGGTTCATATCTGACCCAGAGAGACTGCAGGTCATAACTTCTTACCTGAAGTTCAGTTCACACTTGGACCGGCGGCAGCCTCGGGTCTCTTTTCCTTCATCCACCTGCTGGCCTCCACCACTTGCTAATGTTACTGAATCTGTGGAAGCTCCGCGATGCCACCACACGAAGTAACGAGTAACGAGCCTATCTAAATCCCAGTAACGAGTAACGCGTTCCTGGTTTTGGCATAATAACTAGTTACCGTGCTCGTTACCACAATAATAACGTAGTTACTGTAACTCGTTACTTAATAACGCGTTAGTCCCAACACTGCTCATTATAAATAAAAGTGCAAATTCTTTATCTTAGTGCATCCTCAAATTGGACAGAGAGTATTTTACCAACTGAATTGTCATCCATGACCTATTCCTATTCCATACTACAGTCAGTGTAACAGATTCAAATACTCATTATGCCTTTTTGGTTAGAGGCAGCATTTAGACTGGCCCTGCACCATGACAGGCCTCCAACGTGTGTTTGATGAATGCAATGCTCATCTATCTGGAAGCCCATTAGGGAAGAAAGAACTGGATGTTAAATATGTATGAACTGATACTCTCTGCACAAAGTAGATGACATTTGTCTCTTCTTAACTTTGGATAATCTGGAACTATTTGGAGTGGCCTGTCATCCAGGCCATTTATAATGACAGTAACTAGCTCTTAATGAGAAGTCCCTCCTAACCACATTAGTTTCTTCTCCCACATTCAACGTGAAACATGGTAAAGTAGACCCCACAACGATGCAGCACAGTGCAGAGCAGCTACCTAAACTCTCCATGCACAGAGGTTGTTTCAACAGTACCCAGAGTCAATATGCGACACAGGGTACTGTTATCATTTTCCTGAATACTATACAAATAAGTCTTCTAAAAACAGCACGCCCAGGCACTCCAGGCCTGTTGCAAGCAAAAGCAAAAACGTATTCGGTGGAGAACACCTGACTGTTCTGTAAAAAGTTTGAAAAGGTTTTAAAAAATAAAAATAAATTTTTTTTAGGTAATAGCTGCATGTAACTGTGTTGTTTTAAAACTTGTGCATAGTTTTTTAAAATGTACAGTTTCTATTTCAAGTTGTGATTCATTAAACATGTTTGTGGTTCTTACAGTAAAAACTTGTTTCTACTCTGATTTTATGTTTTTTGTCTGATTTTAGATCAATTGTGGTAATACAACATGTCAAACTAAAAAAACATATCTGCTTTTATCACAGGAAGACGCGGTGCTGTGGCTGTTGTCCTCAGCTCCCTCTGTGCAGCCAGAGTTTATACTGTGTGTTGATGCAGAGAAAGCCTTTGACCAAGTAAATGAGATGAAAAACAATATTGTTGTTACTTGGAAACAGTTGTACTGGCTCAGGTCTTTGTGGTCCCAACAGTGCTCACTGGGACCTGGTTCTTCTGTAACCAGAGCAATCAGGCTGTTTTGCTGCAAGAAGCTTGTGAAGCTCTTGAGAGAGCTCTTTAGTTTTATCCATCATGGGTGTTTCTTTTGTGACAGTAATGAGAGTAATGTCGTGCAGTTTGAACACTGGATTTGATGACGATGAAATTCCATGAAGAGATTAAATCCAGCAGCGACTGAAGAATTGTGGTGTTGTACATTTCCCTGAGGAATCCAAACTAATTAAAATCGAGTTTTTAATTTAACCTGCTTGTTTTTGAGGACTGCCTTTGCATTTCTCTCATTTCTTACTCCATGACAGAACACAAAATAATCAATACACTGACTACTCATTTTTAATCATTAAAAGGGTAATAATTCAGGGAACAGCGTGCCAGTGATGTGCATGGTGCTGGTCTGTGCGTAGTCCCACTAAAGGATGCTTGGACATCATGCTACGCTCATAAAATCTTTATTTGACAGTTTGGTGGGCGTCATTTTATGGGACTAGCCACATTTGTTCAGTTCCCCTTCCTCTTCCTGCAGGGACAACAACCCTTCACATTCTTGTGTAATCACCAGTTAATCTAATCCCGCTAACTGCATGTCTTTGGACTGTGGGAAGAACTGGAGTACCCACAGAGAACCCACACAGGGAGCTTTGAGTGAGTGTAGGCACTGAGGCCTGCATTCAGAGCTGTGACGGTCCGTCTCCTGTGGAGCCCACCACATGTGAGAGTGGCTCAGGAGTGTCACCATGTTTTTGAAAACTCACTTTCAAGAATTCACAGTGAATTTCAGTATTCGTTAACAGTTTGCTTCAGTCAGCCTTATGAGCTTTGGCTCAGAGAAGACAACAGTGTTTGTGGAGCACAGTCGCCTGGCTTTTCCTTTACTCTGTTTGCAGACAGCGAACTCAGGAGCCCGTAACAGCCATGACAGACTCGTGCCTGTGTTTGTCAGCTGAGGCCCAAAAGACCATCTCTGGACAATCAGCCTTGTCAGCTTCCTCCATCTCAACTTTTCTGAGTTTTCTGAGACTCAGTTTGAACATACAATGTTTTCTGTGTTCGATGGTGAATAAAACGTGTTTGTGAGATTTTAAAATCATTGTGTTTTGTTTTATTTACACTTTACACATAATCTCACCTCTTTGTGGAATTTGGGTTATAATCCTGTCTCCAGTTTCAAGGAGAAAAATGTCTGTGTGTGTGTCTGTGTGTGTGTGTGTGTGTGTGTGTGTGTGTGTGTCTGTGCGTGTGTCTGTGTCTGTGTGTGTGTGTGTGTGTGTGTGTGTGTGTGCGTGTGTGTGTCTGTGTGTGTGTGTCTGTCTGTCTGTGTGTGTCTGTGTGTGTGTGTGTGTGTGTGTGTGTGTCTGCGTGTCTGTGTGTGTGTGTGTCTGTGTCTGTGTGTGTCTGTGTGTGTGTGTCTGTGTCTGCGTGTGTCTGTGTGTGTGTGTCTGTGTCTGCGTGTGTGTGTGTGTGTGTGTGTGTGTGTGTGTGTGTGTCTGTGTCTGCGTGTGTGTCTGTGTCTGTGTGTGTGTGTGTGCCTGTGTGTGTGTGTGTGCGTGTGTCTGTGTCTGTGTGTGTGTGTGTGTGTGTGTGTG